GAGTCTAACCATTGTCGCAGGACAAAATCGTATTACTTTATACGTAGTAACTAATTAGATACCTTTCTATATTCTAATATATAAATTTTATTTTTGTTTGTTCGTATATAATGCGCTACCATACCGTTCATCAGATTGCGTTAAAATTTAGTCAACTTATTGCTAACTAATAAACTTACAATAGATGGCGCGCGTATCGAACTGACAAATTTATTTATTTATTATTATATAGAGACTAACTACCTCTTCCAAATTTTAAACGATATTTCGACAATTTTTTTTTTTTTTTCCGTGTACCATCTACAGCAACACGAAACATCCACCCCCCCCCCCCCCCCCCTCCCCTCCCCCCGCCTTCGCCTTATTATTTGCCCGCCATTTTATACTTCCCCGCACCCTCGCCTCAGCCGTCTCAGTCGTCTGGGTGACTTTATATAAACGGGAAAAACGAAAGGTGCGGTCTATCTGTCGTCGTGCGTTCGTAACGTACGTTAAGTCTGTATATATATTATTTCGTGTGTTGTCTTTCTTCTCTAAGCGAAAATGACCGGTCGCGGTAAAGGTGGTAAAGGTTTGGGGAAAGGTGGAGCGAAGCGGCACAGAAAAGTTCTTCGTGATAACATCCAGGGTATCACCAAACCGGCTATCAGACGTCTCGCACGCAGGGGCGGTGTGAAACGTATCTCCGGGTTAATTTACGAAGAGACACGCGGTGTACTCAAGGTGTTCCTTGAGAACGTGATTCGTGACGCTGTTACATACACCGAGCATGCGAAGAGGAAAACCGTCACCGCAATGGATGTCGTCTACGCCCTGAAACGTCAAGGACGTACCCTCTACGGATTCGGTGGTTAATTTCTTATACGCGATGAAGACGTCGTCCACCGCCACGTACTACGGCTCTCTGTCCGCTCTGAGTTCGTCTATAGTACACCATGTGCGCAGTGTGTATTTGCTACTTGGTATGCGGGACTCTGAGAGTTAAGTTACGTGATGAGACGATTTTCCTAATCGTATAAGTTAATAAAAAAAAAGGCCCTTTTCAGGGCCGCAAAACTATCAATATAACTTGTATTTGTTTCGTAGAGTATCGTCATTTAAAAAAAAAAAAAGAAATGATATGTGCAAGCATGTATTTTGTTGTATGGATATGTGTATAAATGGCATGATTATGTATATAAGTGCGAATGTATGTGTGTTTATGATCATGTATGTAAGTGCATATTAGAATTAGATGTGTCTGTCTATAAAGTTATGTTATTTAAAAGCTGTAAAGGCATCACATAAGATTTTTATGTATACCAATTAAACGCGGAACAAAATTAGGTTTATTTTTTATTTATTTTTTTAATTCGAAATAATTTCGAAAAACTGATCTGAATGAAAGAAACGTCAATTCATGTAGGCATTAAATGACTATACTCTTCTTAAATTTGACGATACCTATTAAACAACAAGTGTAAAATATCGCCATATTGAAATAATGGTTCGAACGTCTTAGGAATATATTATCATAATTCCGAATTGTATTTTTTTTTTTTCTCTCTTATTTATCTCCCTTATTATTTAATATATACATAATAATATGATATACTATATTTTAATAATATCACACTTCATTTTTTTTTTAAATACTTAACGCTTTATAAACATACGTTGCTCTGAAGCGTGCCCAGCTTTTGTACGTATTTTAAAGAAGTATGGGAACGTGTTGCAACATTCTAGAAATAATGATGATTTATAATAATTATTTCAGATTACAGTGGACAAATTTTAAAATATTATAGACTATTTTCAAAGATCGTACGCTTTGTATAGGGACTTCGGTCTGTGAGCCTCGAGACCTCTTCGTGTTTTACGACCTTCGACGTATAATAGGTCGTTGCATTACGAATAATGCATTACCGGCGTGACCTCTGCCTTCTGTCTAACCTCAGGATATTAACTTTCAATAGACCGATTTAAATTTAACTAAACTAATGAGCAAATAGAGAAAAATCATTTTAAAAGGCGGCTCATGGTACGCTCAGAATATAGTGAACAAAATAAACATCCATTGCTCGTTTCTCGATCGCTTATATACGTAACGGGTTTGTCTGTTACGTGCACAATCTCAAATATATACCGTATTAACTTTCTGAATACGATAATATTTATATATCACGGTAAAAATTAAATTTTATTCGAGACGTTCTAGTGAAAAGTTAGAAGTGTTCGTACGAGAAAACGTCTCGCAGCACCGCGGTTCTCCTTACGGTTAAGCTTTGGTTGGGGGGGTAAGGTGGCGATAGTGTCGCCACCTGTGTATTATCCTACGTAATATCAATTTGTGTACGATATATAACAACAATTTACAATTTTCCTTTGTTATTATCATCTATCGCGAGTTGTGTGAGTCAGTGTTTGTAGTTCGTTTGTGATCTAATACTACTACTACGAAGTAATGGCAGATACAGCAGTAGCTTCCGAAACTCCCGCTCCGGCGACTCCGGCGAAAAAACCGAAGGCCGCCGCTACTGCAGCAGGTGGTGCAAAGAAGCCCAAGGCGAAACCCACTCATCCGAAGACTTCCGAAATGGTCACCAGCGCAATTAAAGAGCTGAAAGAGCGCAGTGGATCATCTTTGCAAGCGATAAAAAAATATATTGCCGCTCAATATAAAGTCGACGCTGAAAAACTAGCTCCGTTCATCAGAAAGTACCTGAAGAGCGCAGTCGAATCGGGTGCGCTTATACAGACAAAGGGCAAGGGGGCTTCCGGTTCCTTTAAGCTTGAATCAAAATCGTCCGCCTCTAAGAAACCGTCGACGGGTAAGAGCAGCGGTGGCGCAAAGAGCGGCGCGTCCGCCGCTAGCTCGGTGTCGGCGAAGGTGAAGAAGAGCACCGCCGCGGGTAAGGGTAAAAAGGCAGCATCGGCAGCGACCGCATCATCACCGTCTAAGGCAAAACCGTCTGCAGCTACCAAGGACAAGAAGGCGGCCGCCGCGAAAAAGAAGCCGGCAGCCGCAAGAAAATCCGCAACCGCTGGCCAAAGCGGCGTTTCTAAGGCGAAAGGCGCCGCTTCGAAGGCGAAAAAGAGCGCCAAACCACCGACAAAGAAACCTAAGGCTCCAAAACCGAAGAAGGCGGCAACACCCAAATCGAAGCCTTCCGCGGCGGCATCGAAGAAGGCAGCCGCTTCTAAAAAGTAAGGTCCGCTGTCACCGCCTTCCGTCGTCATAACCACCACCGCCGCCGTACCTACCTACGTACGTACTCGTACGCGTAATTGTCACGCGCGTATGTGATTGTGTAGTGCATGCAGGCAGAGTGACAGCAAGACGGGACGGACGGGACGGGAGAGGAGAAGGATCCTCGCGGGTGAACGCGAGTGCCTCGTAGCGCCGCGGCATCGGGCCTATTTATTTTTATTTTATTCTTAAAAATAATACCTATAAAAATAAATAGTGTACGTGTGTCGCGTCGTATACGAATATGCGCGAGCGACCGCAATGCTAAAAAGCCCTTTTCAGGGCTAACAAAAATTTCCTATGAGTTTCTTATACGTCACGCGTCAATCATAATGATTGCCTTATTATATATATTACCTACCTATATTATATATATCGCACCGTCCCTCACTTCAATCAAAATCAGTCAGTCAGGCAGTTCTATATAATGTAATATAAAATATTATGTAATTATGTAAACATTGCAACGAAATAACGAACGCACAACTTATGAACGCACGATAACGATTTAACTAAGTAGGTATATAAATTCGAATAAGCTAAATACACGTATATTATAACAATAAACGTAGATGCGTCGTAAATGCGTTACAACAATTTACGAAACACTAAATACCTCTATATATATATACACACACCACCTACTCAACGAATTCAACGTACTACGTTCACACTTTTAAAAAAATTTTAATAGGTGCCTAGGTAAAATAGATAACACAACCGAATCGAATCGAATCGAATCGAATCGAACCGAACCGACCGACCGACCGACCGACCGACCGACCGACGCGACGCGACGCGACGCGACGTGACGCGACGCGACGCGACGAGACCCTACACGAACGTAACACGTATAATATTATGTATATAAATAATATTATCACTTTCACACTCCCTAATTTTCTTGTTACAGTTTTTCGTTTTTCTTCCTCTTCGACGACGATATATTATACTATTCTATTCTAACGCGTTATATCCTATTGCTGCTACCTAGTATTCTTCTTTTTTTCTTCTTTACAAGTACATTCGTTTCGCCCTCGCCCGACTGCCCGACTCCCGACTCCCAACTCCCAACTCCCAACTCTGACTTGAGATTTTCCAACTAACTAAAAGTCTGACCGGACCGACCGCGCAAACGTGTTGCGTTCGCGATCCCCACCCCACCTAGTGGCGAATCGATGCTGGCTATATAAAGGAACGTCGCAAGTTTAAAAAAATTAGTTTATATCGGTGTTGACGTCGTCTATATAGAGACGAGTGTTTAATTTTCTACATTTATAGAATTTTATTATTACGTATTAACGACAATGTCTGGACGTGGTAAAGGCGGTAAAGTGAAGGGAAAGGCAAAGTCCCGTTCGAATCGTGCCGGTCTACAATTCCCCGTTGGACGTATTCACAGGCTGCTGCGAAAGGGAAATTATGCAGAGCGTGTGGGTGCCGGCGCTCCGGTGTACCTGGCCGCAGTCATGGAGTACCTCGCCGCTGAAGTTCTAGAGTTGGCCGGTAACGCTGCTCGGGACAATAAGAAGACCAGAATCATACCGAGACATCTTCAGCTTGCCATCCGCAACGATGAAGAGTTGAACAAGCTCCTCTCCGGTGTGACGATCGCCCAGGGCGGTGTACTACCCAACATTCAGGCGGTCCTTCTTCCCAAGAAGACCGAGAAGAAGGCCTAAACGAGTGTGTACACTACTCCCGTCGCATTACTACACCACACCACTAGGCCCAAGAAAATGGTTGAGAACATTAGACGAGAGTATGCGTCGACGTTTTATCGATCGGTAATGCCCTAATTGTACTATATACGTATTGCATATTCTGTTTTACGCTCCTTAGTATAATAATGGTGCATTCGCCGTCCGTCGACTCGCGTGTCTCTACTGCTCTATTGCTATCTACCGTTCGTGGTGGTACGTGATTAAAAGGCCCTTTTGAGGGCCACAAATACTATCGATAATTTATAAATTTAGTCTCTTAGAATGCGAACGTTCTTTAAAGCCTCTTTCCTCAGTTCCTCCTATCCTATCCTATACCTTATTCCTTTTTGTACGCTATTACTTTATATTGGTAATGGTAACGATAAGACTAGAGCCATATTTATTATGAATTAATAATAATCAATAGACTAAAAGGTAAAAAAAATAATTTTTTTTTTTTTTTTTTTTTTGAAGAGAAACATATATTAATACTTACCGTTCAACATATTATGTAGTAAAAATCTCTTATGAACTTCACCGTTGCCGTTGGCTTTAGATGGATTAGAGGATTGCTTCGCCGCGATAAATGGACTCAATGTATTATGTTAATTATAAATTTAAATGCATTATTAAAACATTATCAGTAGTTAATTTTATTATTATAAAATATTCGATAATGATTTATTTTATTAAATTAATTAAAATAATTGGGTATTAGTATAATTATATATTACTTATATTGGAATGTTTAATAAAATAAAAATTGCGTTCTTTCTAAACTAATCTTCCGTCCGTATTCCCCTACTCTCTACCCTGCCCCTTCCATTTGTCCGGGCAAACTGGTCGTTGATTGGTTGATCTACACTCGATACGCTCGTTAGACCACTAGCTAGTAGAGTCACCGTGATAGTCGTTATATAAGAAAAAAAAAATGTTCAGTGATCACATCTTACCTGTTTCACCGCCCCCGAGCGGTTGTGTACAGGTTGTCCGCGTGCCTAGCGTCCCAACGCTAGTGCCCCCCCGCTCCGCGCTTCGCGCTTTTCAGGTAGTGAGCGCCTAAGCGCTGAAGCACTGTAAGTGTTCCTTGCTAACTCGCAGTTCATACCCCCCCGCCATTCAGTCGGGGAGGTCTGACTGCACGCTTTTTGTATAGTAGATACTAGCAATTTATAGTTTATTAGTTTATTTTAATTATTTGTGTATATATATCGTGTATATTTTATAGTGTTTCTTAGAATACGTTACTTGCTCTTCCGAGCAAGCCCTTGTCCTTTTGAGGATAAGGGGACGGTTTCGAAGTACAGAACGTCCCGTACTTTTGAGTGCGGAGACCCCAAGTCCCTAACGTATAGTTTTTATATATATAAGTTTTTATTGTAGTAGTCATGTCCACTCAGGACTTAAAATCTTCGTTGATAGAGGCCATCAATATGATGGAAGATCCGCAGGCGCTCGCAGCCGCACTAGCCTGTCTGGCAAATCCTGCCCCTGCCCTTAAGGCAATATTCCCGCCGCCAGTGTTGGCGGCTCGCCTGGAGTCCCAGAACTCCTTCGCAATGCTGGATGCTGAGATGGAATGCTTACATTCCGACTCAGCATCTACAACTTCATCGTCTGCCTCCCGGAAGAGGTCCGCGAATTCATCTAGAAACAGCACCAGGACATCGGAGACATCGGACTCCGATGACACCAGTGCCGACTCGGCAGATTCATACAAAACGGTGTCTTCAAAGCGCGCATCGAAGCGCGCAGCGAAAAACCGTTCGCCCGTAACCGTTGCGGCCCGTGCCGCTCCCCCTAGCCCCGCAGCCCCCGCCGCTGCCGCGTCTACCTCCGCAGCCCCCGCCGCTGCCCCTACCCCTCTGTCGCCGTTAGACGTAACGGCTTCAAACAAACCGGCCTCGCGTTGCGCGCCTAAGCTCGCGAAAAAACAAGTTCCACCGCCTGTCTTTCTTAGAGACAAGGCTGAATTCACGCGTCTTAGCAAGGTGTGCTACGACGCAAAAATTAAATACGACTTAGCTACGAACGTCGGCGTAGCAATTAAAATTCTACCAAATTCATTAGACGATTTTCGTCGAATTACAAAGCTATTTTCTAGCGAAGGTGTGTCGTATCACACCTATGCTCTTCCGGAAGAGCGCAAAGTCAGGGCCGTCATCCGAGGCGTCCCGTATGAACTCTCCAACGAGGAGATTCTTGCTGACCTAAAGGCACAAGGATTTCCCGTGGAGGCCGTGCACAAGATGCACAGTAGGACAGGAATCAGGTACTCGTTAGTACTTGTGATTCTATCAAACGTACCGGAGGCTCGAAATATCTTCCGGCAAGTGCGTACAGTGTGCGGCTTGTCTGGAGTGAAAGTCGAGCCACCGCATAGGCGCGGTTTCCCGGCGCAGTGCCACCGCTGTCAGTTGTACGGACACGCGGCGGCCAATTGCTCCGCCCCTCCCAGGTGCGTTAAGTGCCTGGACTCCCACCTCACTAAGGAGTGTCCCCGGCCGAAAGATGCCGTTTCACCGCCCGCGTGTGTCCTGTGCCAGCAGACAGGACACCCGGCGAGCTACAGAGGATGCCCGTGCGCTCCTCGCCCACGTATTTCCGCACCCAGACAGGTTCCGCCGCCGGTAAATGACCGTTCATTTCCGGCATTGTACGCTAGGAAGCCCCGTCAGGGCGTAACACAGCCGTCTCAGGGCTTCGCGCGACCCCCTCAGGGTCCCCAAAGACAACCGCAGGCGCCGCTTAGGCCACCTCCCGGCTTTTCTAAGCCTATGCAGGCTCCAGTTTTTCCCTGGGGCCCTAAAAAGGCTAATCCACCAAAAGCTGCCCCTGCTGCGCAGCAGAAGCAGCCTTCAATAGCCGACGACTTAAACACGGTTTACGCCGTGTTAAAGAACGTCGACATTAATGAAATAACAATTTTAGCAAGCAAATTGCGTGCTGCGAGGTCACCGCAGGACCGACTTTTGGCTCTAGTAGAGCACAATAATTTATTGCGTTCGTTGTAAGTTAAGTTAACTTAATTAGCTTAACTTACAATGACAGAGACAGAGCCCTCTGCTCTGCCTATAAATCACGGACGTATCAAGCCTAAAGGTTTATCGCTTATTTCATTTAACATTCGCGGATTGCGAAATAACCTCCCAGAGCTTAGGCTCTTTATTCGAAATCGCGAAGCCGATATCGTCCTATTACAGGAAACATTATTAAAATCTAGGGATACGGTAGGCCTTACGATTAATAATTATTCTATTTTACGTAATGATAGGCCCGATCGCCGAGGCGGCGGTACGGCCATTTATTACAAGAAAACACTACATTGCTCTCATATTGATACGCCGCAGCTTACCAATATGGAAGCAACGATATGCAGGTTAGCTATGACGGGACATCAGTCTTTAGTCATAGCCTCCTGTTACATTCCACCTAGGAACCTCCCCCTCAAAGATGATTTTGAGGCCATCTTGTCTCTAGGCAATTCAGTCATTATGTTTGGAGATTTTAACTCTAAGCATACTGAATGGACATGCCGTAAAATCAATCGTAGTGGCAGGACACTACTTAATATCACGCAGGATCTTGACCTCACAGTTCACAGTCCTCTCGGTGCAACGCATTATCCCGATGCTACCGATTACAATCCAGATATACTAGATTTTGCGTTACTCAAAGGAGTTTCACTCAACCTCAGGTCAATTGAGACACTAGACGATATAGGATCCGATCACCGACCGGTTTCCCTTATTCTTGGCCATCAGCCACCCCCTATTATAAATACGAAAACTTTCACTAACTGGAAGGGTTTCAAGGACTCCCTAGCAAAAGCTATGGACTCGCAGGACTCCCCTAATTACCTATCGTCGGATTTAGACTTAGACAGTCCCGAAAAAATCGACACCGCGGTCGATTCACTTTCAACCCTTATTAAATCCTCCCTTAAGGAGAATGAAAGGGTCGTCCCGGTTGCTAATAATAGTGGGCTTCCCCTACATATTAGCAACATATTAAAAGCTAAAAAAGCTGCTTTTCGGAGAGCAGCTAAATATCCCACCCCCGAATATAGGCATACGGCTAATCGTCTTCAACGAAAACTCCGCTTATGCCTTGCTGAATTTCGAGACCTCCAAAGGAGTGAACTCATGGAGAATATATCTCCCTCCCATACAGCGTACTATAGGATGGCTAGAGCCCTCCGTATAGACGCTACAAATCACATTCCTCCTCTCTCTCGCCCCGACGGTACGGTTGCCTTCGAGGACGATGAAAAGGCTGAGTGCTTTGCAGATAGTATTGCCGCACAATGCTCTCCTAGCACTCAACCTGTCGACCCCTCACATATTCAGGAAGTGGAGGATGAGGTCCGTCGCCGGAACTCACCCCCCATAACCTCTGACCCTATCACAGTGTCCAATGATGAGATCTCATCCCTCATCAAAGGACTTAAGCCCAAAAAGGCTCCGGGCGCGGATGGCATATCCAACCAAGCCCTTAAACACTTTCCAGAGCAGGTGTTAACCCTCTTATCTATTATATTTAACGCCTGCTTTAATCTTAGCTATTTTCCCACTACGTGGAAAGAGGCAATTGTTATTGGTATTCCCAAGCCAGGCAAGCCTCTAAACTTCCCCTCCAATCATCGTCCCATTAGCCTCCTAAAGGCCATGGGCAAACTCTTTGAAAGAGTAATTCAAAGTCGAATGAGGCGCCATCTGTTTCCCACAGACGGTGACCCTCTTATCATTCCCCACCAATTCGGTTTCCGAGCGAAACACTCCTGCCCCCAACAAGTTCACCGCATTGTGGAATATGTCCTCAGCGGTCTTTATCCACGTCGAGAAAAGACAATCGCTGTCTTTTTCGACATTGCCAAAGCCTTCGACCGAGTCTGGCACGAAGGCCTCATATTTAAATTATATAAAATAGGACTCTCCGATCGTCTAGTACGTCTCGTGGCCTCTTATTTACAACATCGTACCTTTCGTTTTAGATACGAAGGCACGTTATCCCCTCCGCGCCCCATTAAAGCTGGTGTTCCTCAGGGATCGGTACTAGCTCCCCTCCTGTACATCTTGTACACCAACGACGTTCCAATCCCGTCGAACGGTGTACAACTATCACTCTTCGCAGATGACACTGCACTCTACTTTAAAAGTAGATTATCATCTCACGCTAGAAACAAACTCCAAAAGTCAGTCGATGACCTAGGAGATTGGTTCCAAAAATGGCGCATCGATGTGAACCCGGAGAAGAGCTCCGCGGTTCAATTCGACTTTAAACGACGCCGTCATAAAATCAATAAAAATATTCCTCAGATACGCATGTTAAGGACTCCTGTCCCGTGGCATACGTCAACTAAATATCTAGGTGTCACCCTTGACTATAGGCTCACTTTCGAGCCTCATGTCAAAAGAGTAACACAATTAGCTCGCTTTTACCTAGGTAGGTTAAATAGCATGTTAGGCCGACATAGTAAAATGTCTTTAAGAAATAAGCGAACACTTTATAAGGTTTGTATACGTCCCGTAATGACTTACGCGGCCCCGGTATTTGCACAAGCCGATAATAAAATAATTAACGAACTACAAGTAGTTCAAAACTTATTCTGTCGTCGAGCTACGAACGCACCTTGGTACGTCCGTAATGCCGATCTTCACCGGGATTTAGAAATCCCAACAATTCAACAATACACTAAAACTCTCTCTGAAAACTTTTTTAAAGTTTCAGAGTCGCACAACAACTCATTAATTCGTGAGGCAGTAACTTATACCGCCCCACTCCCCTCTTGCCATAGCATCCGCAGGCCGAGAAATACTCTCTCGGACCAGCCAAATAAACTCTCAAGTGACCTGAACTGCCTTTTGGCGGCTCAGGCCAATTCTAATTAAATTAAAAATTATTTAAAATAAATATGCCTTCGTAGGCAGTCCCTAAACGGCACTTAGCCGTCTGCGCCCTCTTTTCCCAAAAGAGGGTCGCTTTACGATACGGCATGTGAAGCTTTCAACAGCTAGTTGCCAGTCCCCAAAGGCGGTTTTTAGTGGGTATCACTTAGGTCCCCCCGGTAGGCTGTGAGTCCCACATAACCACGATGGATAGCCATCGTGGTATGCGTAATGCATTTTCCGCCTCCCGTAAAGGGTAGCCCTTTTCCAATTGCTTCGGGCGCAAAAAAAAAAAAAAAAAAAAAAATGTTCAGTGATAATTTAGTATTATCCGTGATCACATTTACATTAAATATTCTTCAAGATGCCGCCGAAAACTAGTGGTAAAGCCGCCAAGAAGTCTGGTAAGGCACAGAAAAACATCTCCAAGTCGGATAAGAAGAAGAAGAAGCACAAGAGGAAGGAGAGTTACGCCATCTACATCTACAAGGTGCTCAAGCAGGTGCATCCCGATACTGGTATATCCAGTAAAGCGATGTCCATAATGAACTCTTTCGTTAACGACATCTTCGAACGCATAGCCGCAGAGGCCTCGCGCTTGGCTCATTACAACAAGCGTTCGACTATTACTTCACGGGAAGTGCAGACCTCCGTGAGACTGCTGTTGCCCGGTGAACTCGCCAAGCACGCCGTGTCAGAGGGCACCAAGGCAGTCACCAAATACACCAGCTCCAAGTAAGGTCGGTGATTGGTGTGTGTTTTAGGTGTATTTCAAAGGCCCTTTTCAGGGCCACAAAATATATCGTATTACTATCCGTTTCTCATAATAACGTCACCCTACATTTCGCTCGTTCGTCCGCTACGCTAAGAGTATTTATTCTTTTATAGATATACTTCGCATGCAAATGTACAATTTTAAAATACTTACATACAACTAATACATAAAAGGATACGAAAAAAAATAAAAAATAATAATAATAATAAAGGGATCTTATTTGAAATTACGTAAAATAAATTTAGAATAGTCTACTTAATAACTAGAAATCTGCTATAATACGCGCCTATGAGAGCTTAATAACTATTAGATATAATTATAACCTACAATTTAAGACACAAACGATATTTTTATTACAAGGAGTATATTTTGAGCAAGATATTAGTGATTTCATATGAAATTAAGACCTCGAGGGTTCTCTATAATGCAAATATCATAATATTGTATATTATTATTATTTAAAAGTTTTTAATACGAATGCTTGGTCTACCCGATATTCACGATGAAGTAAAAACGGAGAGGGGGTGGGGGTGGGGGGGGGGGGGGAGGAGGAGGAAAAGAGATGGGTAGAGAAGTCTCGCCTGTAACCGCACATTTGTCGACCATATAAAAGCGTCGCCACTCGCGACGATTTCAGTATCCCGCGCGTTGAGAACGTATAGTCGTATAGTGAATATATTGTGTATTAGTTGAGTTAGTGTAACGTAACAATGGCACGTACTAAGCAGACCGCTCGGAAATCCACCGGTGGTAAAGCGCCGCGTAAACAACTGGCCACCAAAGCAGCCCGTAAGAGCGCACCAGCAACCGGCGGTGTTAAGAAACCACATCGCTACAGGCCCGGTACCGTCGCTCTCCGTGAGATTCGTCGCTACCAGAAGAGCACCGAGCTCCTCATCCGCAAATTGCCGTTCCAACGTTTGGTGCGTGAAATCGCTCAGGATTTCAAGACCGACCTCCGCTTCCAGAGCTCCGCCGTGATGGCCCTTCAAGAGGCTAGCGAAGCTTACCTAGTCGGGTTGTTCGAAGATACCAACTTATGCGCGATTCATGCAAAACGCGTAACCATTATGCCGAAAGACATACAGTTGGCGCGCAGAATTCGCGGTGAACGAGCTTAATAAACTCTACTCTACCGATTGTGTTGTGAACTACGTTTAATTTTTAACATCAATCATCGATTGGCAGTGTGAAAGTGGCAATATTAAATATGCCTCATTAACAACAACAACTACACGTTGACAAGATGATGATGATTGTGTTGGTTTTAACGTATGTTCTCTTTCACTTTCATAAAAGGCCCTTTTCAGGGCCGCATATGTTTCTACACAATAAACTGTGCGTTTCTTTAGAATATAAGAGAACGTTAAACGAGCAAGTAATAGATAGATAGATAGATAGATAGATAGATAGATGGTATGGTATGGTATGGTAATATTATGAGATAACAAAAACATAATATCGAATTAAGGCTCAGCAAATCGAAATGTTTATTTAGATACCGTTTAAATAAATTAATAGATAGATGTACTAATCTAGTATAATAGACGACAAACTGTATACTATTTAACATCATAAGATACACAGTAGGGTAAAGCTTACCTGTCTCACGACGGATGATCATTCATCACCATCATCGACGATCGGCGCCGACGATGCCTGCGCCGCCGCTGCCCGCGAAGACTACCACCACCAATGTTCACGCGCAGAACGCTTCTGTTAGTTAGGATGCAGTTTTTTTTTTTTTTAAATAAATAAAAATCTTCGTCTTCATAATAATATAAATTATAATATCTTACTTTGGATAATCATATTAAATGAAGTGATACAAAATAGAAAACGACATGTTTCGACAATAATATTATCTGTACTTTATATACACCTCGTTCACCCCGCGACATTATTTCATGGCGGGCTTTGAGTATTAAAATTAATGGGGGATTGACTAATTTCTCTTTTTTTTTTTTTTTTTTTTTTATAGTATGCGGATTGACCTCAGGACTCATTGGATGGAGTCTAACCATTGTCGCAGGACAAAATCGTATTACTTTATACGTAGTAACTAATTAGATACCTTTCTATATTCTAATATATAAATTTTATTTTTGTTTGTTCGTATATAATGCGCTACCATACCGTTCATCAGATTGCGTTAAAATTTAGTCAACTTATTGCTAACTAATAAACTTACAATAGATGGCGCGCGTATCGAACTGACAAATTTATTTATTTATTATTATATAGAGACTAACTACCTCTTCCAAATTTTAAACGATATTTCGACAATTTTTTTTTTTTTTTCCGTGTACCATCTACAGCAACACGAAACATCCACCCCCCCCCCCCCCCCCCTCCCCTCCCCCCGCCTTCGCCTTATTATTTGCCCGCCATTTTATACTTCCCCGCACCCTCGCCTCAGCCGTCTCAGTCGTCTGGGTGACTTTATATAAACGGGAAAAACGAAAGGTGCGGTCTATCTGTCGTCGTGCGTTCGTAACGTACGTTAAGTCTGTATATATATTATTTCGTGTGTTGTCTTTCTTCTCTAAGCGAAAATGACCGGTCGCGGTAAAGGTGGTAAAGGTTTGGGGAAAGGTGGAGCGAAGCGGCACAGAAAAGTTCTTCGTGATAACATCCAGGGTATCACCAAACCGGCTATCAGACGTCTCGCACGCAGGGGCGGTGTGAAACGTATCTCCGGGTTAATTTACGAAGAGACACGCGGTGTACTCAAGGTGTTCCTTGAGAACGTGATTCGTGACGCTGTTACATACACCGAGCATGCGAAGAGGAAAACCGTCACCGCAATGGATGTCGTCTACGCCCTGAAACGTCAAGGACGTACCCTCTACGGATTCGGTGGTTAATTTCTTATACGCGATGAAGACGTCGTCCACCGCCACGTACTACGGCTCTCTGTCCGCTCTGAGTTCGTCTATAGTACACCATGTGCGCAGTGTGTATTTGCTACTTGGTATGCGGGACTCTGAGAGTTAAGTTACGTGATGAGACGATTTTCCTAATCGTATAAGTTAATAAAAAAAAAGGCCCTTTTCAGGGCCGCAAAACTATCAATATAACTTGTATTTGTTTCGTAGAGTATCGTCATTTAAAAAAAAAAAAAGAAATGATATGTGCAAGCATGTATTTTGTTGTATGGATATGTGTATAAATGGCATGATTATGTATATAAGTGCGAATGTATGTGTGTTTATGATCATGTATGTAAGTGCATATTAGAATTAGATGTGTCTGTCTATAAAGTTATGTTATTTAAAAGCTGTAAAGGCATCACATAAGATTTTTATGTATACCAATTAAACGCGGAACAAAATTAGGTTTATTTTTTATTTATTTTTTTAATTCGAAATAATTTCGAAAAACTGATCTGAATGAAAGAAACGTCAATTCATGTAGGCATTAAATGACTATACTCTTCTTAAATTTGACGATACCTATTAAACAACAAGTGTAAAATATCGCCATATTGAAATAATGGTTCGAACGTCTTAGGAATATATTATCATAATTCCGAATTGTATTTTTTTTTTTTCTCTCTTATTTATCTCCCTTATTATTTAATATATACATAATAATATGATATACTATATTTTAATAATATCACACTTCATTTTTTTTTTAAATACTTAACGCTTTATAAACATACGTTGCTCTGAAGCGTGCCCAGCTTTTGTACGTATTTTAAAGAAGTATGGGAACGTGTTGCAACATTCTAGAAATAATGATGATTTATAATAATTATTTCAGATTACAGTGGACAAATTTTAAAATATTATAGACTATTTTCAAAGATCGTACGCTTTGTATAGGGACTTCGGTCTGTGAGCCTCGAGACCTCTTCGTGTTTTACGACCTTCGACGTATAATAGGTCGTTGCATTACGAATAATGCATTACCGGCGTGACCTCTGCCTTCTGTCTAACCTCAGGATATTAACTTTCAATAGACCGATTTAAATTTAACTAAACTAATGAGCAAATAGAGAAAAATCATTTTAAAAGGCGGCTCATGGTACGCTCAGAATATAGTGAACAAAATAAACATCCATTGCTCGTTTCTCGATCGCTTATATACGTAACGGGTTTGTCTGTTACGTGCACAATCTCAAATATATACCGTATTAACTTTCTGAATACGATAATATTTATATATCACGGTAAAAATTAAATTTTATTCGAGACGTTCTAGTGAAAAGTTAGAAGTGTTCGTACGAGAAAACGTCTCGCAGCACCGCGGTTCTCCTTACGGTTAAGCTTTGGTTGGGGGGGTAAGGTGGCGATAGTGTCGCCACCTGTGTATTATCCTACGTAATATCAATTTGTGTACGATATATAACAACAATTTACAATTTTCCTTTGTTATTATCATCTATCGCGAGTTGTGTGAGTCAGTGTTTGTAGTTCGTTTGTGATCTAATACTACTACTACGAAGTAATGGCAGATACAGCAGTAGCTTCCGAAACTCCCGCTCCGGCGACTCCGGCGAAAAAACCGAAGGCCGCCGCTACTGCAGCAGGTGGTGCAAAGAAGCCCAAGGCGAAACCCACTCATCCGAAGACTTCCGAAATGGTCACCAGCGCAATTAAAGAGCTGAAAGAGCGCAGTGGATCATCTTTGCAAGCGATAAAAAAATATATTGCCGCTCAATATAAAGTCGACGCTGAAAAACTAGCTCCGTTCATCAGAAAGTACCTGAAGAGCGCAGTCGAATCGGGTGCGCTTATACAGACAAAGGGCAAGGGGGCTTCCGGTTCCTTTAAGCTTGAATCAAAATCGTCCGCCTCTAAGAAACCGTCGACGGGTAAGAGCAGCGGTGGCGCAAAGAGCGGCGCGTCCGCCGCTAGCTCGGTGTCGGCGAAGGTGAAGAAGAGCACCGCCGCGGGTAAGGGTAAAAAGGCAGCATCGGCAGCGACCGCATCATCACCGTCTAAGGCAAAACCGTC